AGTGACTGATCTGTGACAAGGGATGGGGAGAAGGTGTGGGCTTCAGTGGGGTGGATGAAAGCAGGCCCCAGACTTGCAGGGACCTGGTGAAAGGGAAAGCAGGCCCAAGTCCTGTGGGATTCCTGAGGGGATGGAAAGCAGAGTAAGGGGTGCTTGAAAGACTGTGGGGAGGGTGGGGAGGCCTGGGATAGGCCGGTCTGGGCTTATGCTAGCTCTCTCAAATTCAAAGCACACTGTGCTCTGCTTAACAACTGCATTTGGAGAACAGGGGTGGGATCGTAAGCAAAACAGCCACATGACCCTTACAACTTATGACCATAATGGACAAGCTCTATTATGAGGTTGAGGACTACCTATATATATCTCCATGTTAGCAATGGCAGAAATTGCAGTGGGTTTATTTATTGTTTGGAGTTTAGAGGGAATTCATGTGCTAGAGATTATCCACAGATGTCATCCTTGGTTTAAGCCATCACATCTCTTGTGGCAGGTATATGTTATTCCTTTATTTTTAGCAACATTTGGCGCATGAGAGTTATAGAGGGGTAAAATATCAGTGTGCTTTTTTAAAAAATTCGACACAGACAGATGAATCTCAGTGAAAGACAAACTGGAGATTTCCTAGACAAGAACACAGAAGCCCTTACTAACCCATTCCTTTTCATCAGTGCAATTGCTTTCAGAATTAGTATTTTGATACTACCTTCTTAGGCCTTGGCCAAATGGGTTTGGTCTGAACTATGCAGAATTCAATATATATATGCATGTGTATGTTTATTAGGTCAGGAAGAAAAAGCCCTGCCCTCTTTTAAGCCTACAGATATAAATTATACAAATGCATCACTCCTGTATTCCCTACTTACATCATTTTCTGTCTCTTTCCACTCTGTCAAGTTAGTCTTTTTCTGCTTTCAGATTACATGGACCTTCAAAATCATATACTAAGAATTTAGATTCTAAATATAGTAAAAAAAAAGAAATGAGCTTAAGAGGATGAGCATAAATTCACCCCATATGATATGAAAGCCAACCAAGTCTTTTAAATTTTGCTAGATGGTATGAGCACTCAACATCCTGATAATTCTTGTTGCTGCTGCTGTTCAGATTGTAATTATACAACTTTTAGCTTTCATTATTTCATTTTGTCATGCTTTGTATGTGAATATGCAGAGTCCTGCGGGCAAGGACAAGTCTCATAGGGCTTGTAAGCAATGTATCTGACTATGATGCAATAATGTGGGGGTTGGGGTGTGCCTTCTGTAACTCCCAGGATCCTAGGAATGACTATTATATACACTTCCTACTACAGGTCTTCCTCAAGGCAAGTTAGGCATGAAAAACTACTTGGTATAATGTCCTGCCTATGCTCCAGAGAAGAGGGTGGCAGTATTACAGAAGCCTTGGTGTGATTCATTAGATCTTGAAGATAGATTTTTGAAGAAAAAAAAGACTAAAACTGAACTATGATGCCAACATGAAGGTGTCAAGAATCGCAAGTCATCTGTTGTTCTACTTTTGTTGGTAGAAAGCTAAATCATTAAAGATTACTTCAGATCCAATTTGGCTTCATTCAGACAAAGGAAGTCACCTTGGCAGGCTGTTTAATCAATCCCTTGGGCTTCTTTCAGAAACACACAAGGAAGGGCCTGTTGTTCCCCTACCAAGCATAGAAGGGAAGGGTCTGTTATGATGTGTGAATTTTGAGAAGCCAAGAGAAAACAGAAATGAACAAGCAATGTAAGGTCTAGCTGAAATGATAGGAAACATTTCCAAACCTGAGAGTTGTGAGCAGTGATGGTGAAGGAGCTGTGTATCCATGCTTACCTGTAAGTCTCCTCCACTCTTTCTAATGATCTTACTGAGCCTAAGATTATTAAAGAATGAAAATTAATGGTTCCTGCTTTCTCCTGATTAATCAGTATTTGATTCATAGCTAATATTCTGGAAAGTTTATTTTTTGCAAGTGACTAGTGATCAATAAAAGCACAGGCTGTCTTAAATTCTCTAATGAGCAGACCTTATGGTCACTGACCATGCAGGAAGAAATCAACTCCTTTAACGTTTCCAGTTCCTTGCACGACCCAGTAACTCTATAGAAATGACAGCACTGGATACAGGTTTCTACATCATTATGAGGTGAGATGTGATGTACTCATCATCTTCAGATGCTATGTTCTGACCCTCTATTTTCTATCCATTCAACAAGTTTAGAGTAGTTTCACAGTGATATAAATCCTCAGGTTAACAATCTATACAACTTAAGATTTCATAGCTATTAGCTTTACAGTTACATGTGTGGGACACATATCAGAAGAGGGGCCAATAAAAAGTTATTCAAAGCATGAATCAATCATTTAAATTCATGGAATAACAAAATTTTCCCCACCAGTGAGTCCAATATTGTAGCTTATTAAAGAAACTATTGCCATCAGCACTTTCACATGGAAAGATTAGAAATCTTCACCCTTGGGGGACTACCAGTGAGTACATGGCAAATTGAATATGTCCCTGAAAAAAACCAGGGACTACATTATAGCTAAAATCTGCAGAAGATGCAAGATTCAGATTAGCAAAATCTCTCCAGAGAAAGAAGAGGTCATGAGATATTCCATGTGTACTTTTGACAGTTGGTCCTCATTAGTAAACTGCAGGAAAAATGTTTTTGTAGTCAGCTCATAGAGTGGCTGGGAGTCAAGGGAATACATACTAGCTCATGGTGATTATTAGCTTTTAAGGACTCAAAAGTGTGGCCTATCCTCTTTTCTTAATCACTTTGAAATTTTTTATTGCTGTTTTATATTGAGAACATTTGAAATGGCAAGTATTTATGGACTTCATTGGGTTAGTTTCCTTCAATCAAGCAGTTTTAAGTATGTGTTTTAACGATTTATATATATTTTTTAATTAGTGGCAAAAGGATGTTTAGATAGTTATAAATGAACCAAGGATCTAAATGAATTTAATAAAGTTTGGAAATTGATTACAAGTCTCCCGTGGGAAACTGTATTTGGAAACAAAGTACCTTGTGAGACTTTGAAGAGTGGACACAAGAGGTCACCAAAAGGAAATGAAACAATGGATGTATTATGTTTGTGAACAACAGACTCACAAACTAGTTTTAAAGATTTCTGCCATTATCAATATAGATCATGCTATGGAAAACGAACCAGTTTTACTGGCAAGACTGAAAATAATTCGAATGTGGACTTAAAAATGACAACCTACAAGAATGATATAGAAAAAACAAAATATTGAATAAACAAATGAAATTGGTTGATTTAATAACTAAAAAGGATGTGCAAGTAATAGGCCATAAAAATAAACTGTATATTTTGAATTTAACAAAGGAATTTAATGATTGCCAGTGATTTTGTAAGAAGAGACAACGAGAAAAAGAAAAGAAACCAAGTGTTTGGGCACTATTTGAAGAGACTAAAGATTAAAATTGCTGGGAGCAGGGGCAAAGAATATAAAAATGGTTTATTTGACCAAGATTAAAACAGATGGGTTACTTCTGGAAATATTTAATGCCCTTTCTTTGGCCCGGAGTGAATGATGATATTTTCAGGCTTTGTTTATCAGGAGTTCTAAGGGCAATAATTTATTTGCTGCATTTTAAATTAACTGATTAAGGTTAAAATAGTTATGTCTGGTAGATTTTAACATTAAAGTTTGAAAGATTAGCTTAATAACAGAAAATGAGATATAAAGATAAAAGGAAAGATTTCATGCAAGTTTGTTTTGTTTACAAGTTACTTCTGGTAAGCCTTAATGGACTTTTTTATTAGAATGCGCAATGAGATTTTAAAGATTTATTATACAGAATGATATATGGTGATGAAGGGATTAAGAGATTGTTTTAAGAAATAGTGATAAATTGTTAAAAATGCTTATACTTGCTGAGACAAAGCAGGAAGTTATTTTTAATCTTTTTTTCTTGCCCTTTTTATTTTTTCTTCTTCTATCTTTATTTTATAGTATTAGTTTTATCTCTTAATCTAATACACGTAATCTTCAACAAAATTGTTACAAAATGAAACCCTTATCTTTGCATATTCTTAGAATATCAAATGATCATTTACTATTTGCATGTACCAACAGTAATACAGACACTGAAGGAGTATCATACATACGTTTTTATTAAATGATACACCTAAATTGGTTGATGTACACACATTTTGCTATGAAATGAAAATGCCTTGTAACTCAGTAAACAGGTTCTGCAAGAATAGTTTTAGCCAAGAAATTTCTCATATTCAAAGTATCTGTCTGTTATAGATTCAAAGGCAACATCTATTCTGCAAGGAATAAAAAGGAATATCTCCTCCTTTAATGGTCAAGTGAACAGAAGATTGTTAAATGCAAGGCTGTTTACAATTTACTCTTATTCTTTAGCATTGTTCCTAATGGCTACACATCAGCTATGGGTCAAAACAGCAGTTTTGAGAGAAATTAAAGATTTTTGGAGAGTTTAATCTTGCAGAACAACTGGATTACACAGGAAGAGTATAGCAGATGTTAGAGTGGCTCCATGCTACAAAGCTAAATGCTATTCCCATTTCAATAATTAGTAGTATCATTGCTTACAGTTTGCACAATATACAGTATTTAAAAATTCCACCAGCTCACTTGTTGGTCACCCCAAACAACAAAATCTACAGAGGAAGAGTAGCCCAACTTATGGCTGATATTCAGGCCTCCATATTAGCAACTCTGTCTAGGTCACAAAAATTACCATTTGTCACGAGACCATGAAAGGGTTAGGATTAGGATAGAATAACAATTCTACATATAAGAAGGAATGGGTTAGCTTAGTCTTTAAGTGGACGGTACCAGAGTCCCAGTTTCATAGTCTTCCCCATTTCTCAGCCAAGTGTGCTTCTCTCCCTGAAGGTGAATCAAAATTAGCGATACTTCTTTGTGCCTTTTACTTTTTTTCTTCTAGTATCATAAACATCTCTGCTTCTTTTCAAGAATAAAACAAAACTCTTGTTCTTTACCTTGATAGAAAGCCAGAGAGAACACCACCAGCAATACCCAACTCTTCCACGAGCCTTCCATGGTCCTGGTGTCAACCAACTCTTCGGTGATGATGCCTGCCTCTCCTCTAGAGCAAACAACCCCAAAAGAAGCTACAAGATGGGGAGTACTTAACACCCACTAAAGATTTCACAAGTTACCATTTACCACACCCATGTAATTAATTTGCATTATTTGTAAGTGCATGAGTACTCCCAGCTGAAAGAAGCAACTCCAGTTTTCTGCATAATAGCCTATTTGCTGCCAGCTCACAAGGATGTACCTTCCTTCCTTTCTCCCTGCTACAACTGAGGACTAAGGGAAGGAAAATGATTCAAGACACTATGTGGTTATAACAGGTTGGGATTCCAATTTATTATGTGTTGTCAGACCCCAAAAGCAATTCTCTGTTTACATCATAAAAAGCATTAAACATGATAAAAAGGGATAAAATCAGCATACAATAAGTCAACTAAAAAATACAGTAATGGAGCAAGTAGTGCTGGCAACCATTTACCCTCAAGATGTTCCCTGGAACAGCCTTGTCCTTAACAGCTTCTGGAAAGCCTACAATGAAGCTGTTGATCCATATTAAGTTTTGGAAAACACTGTGAATATGGTTCTTCATGATCTTATAACAAAATGTCAGAACACTGGTTTAGAAATTAAAAATAGCACTTTGAATTGAATTTGATCATGCAACAACCATAAAGTGTATGTATGACTACAGCAAAGTAGGAACTACTCTTTTGCAGCTTGCAAAATAGGTTTGGATGAGAGTGGTACTGCAATAGTGGCGAATATCTGTAGTTCAGGTGTAAGATGAGGGTGAAGTTTCGTTGAGTTTGTGAGTTGTTTCCGAATATTTCATTATCAGGCTAAGTGATATCTTCAGCAGATTTTAGGGATGTCAGGTTTTCTTCTGTTTATAAGGGCTTTGTGTGGTCAGCAGGTCTTGTGATGGTGAGGTCATGTCAGGGGAGGGTCCCATCAGGTCAGGGTCTTGTGATAAGTCAGGTGTGTGTCACCAGTGAGTCTTGTGATAGCACTTATGATGGGGGGGGGGGAGTTTACACCAGGTGAGGAACATTGGGAGGTGAATTGCTGGTGGTGGGGGTTGTAGTAGTAGTACGGAGAAATAGGGTTTTGGAGTTAAAAGGATATGACCTGAGATTTGGATAACATGGATATTTGTGCTATAAGAAAGTCAAGATAAATGTGGATTTTAGAAATTCTTTGTTAGACGTGCCATATTGAGAGTAAGAAATAGATACCAAACCTCGGTATCTATGCTTGAAAACACCTTTGTGGCTTTAAAAAAGCACAAAAGCGTATTAAGAAACAAGGAACCACGAATGGATTTATGAGATATTAGAACATTAAGAATGTGAAATAAAATCAAGAGAAGAACTGGTGGCAGAGGGATATACGTGTCATACTCTGTAAGAATGTCTGAAGTAGAACCATAAAGTTGAATTGTGGGCAAATTATGAACACACAATTGCTAAAAGATATAAATTTTTATTAAAATTTGAAAAAAGTCATGTATGATAAAGTGGGGTAAAATTTTGGGTTATAACATAAAGATGGAACCTTACACTTGCATTAGGTTAGAGAATTTTTATAAAATGTAGCGTTGGTGTAGGTCACCAGAGAAAGCATCTAAATATATAAAGGTACTTCAAATTATTATTAATGTTCAAATTTGTGGAAATATGAATGGACATTTTTTGTTTGGTGCATATTTTCTTCTAGCATGTAAAAAAGCTAGAAAATTCTGGATTCAAATATATACACTGGTTCAGAAGTCTTTAAAGCGACCCTTTACAGACTTTTTCAATGAGATAAAATAGAAAAGTTGTAATTATAAAGGGTAAATTTATAATTTTACTTATAAGTACTATAAAGTACTAACTTTGTATCTTTATTTCTAATTTCATTTTCCCTTTCTTGTACTTTCAGCTTTTTTATATATTTTTATCTTGTGTGTGTGTGTGAATAAGTAAGACTATGGCGACTATGATTTGTTAACACACGAGCTGCTGTTTCATACCAGTTGCAATTTTTGCATTTTATATATGTCTTTCCTTTCAAAGGAAGACACATATAAAGCATATTACAGTATCCCAACAGGTGGTAAGTACAAGACCTCCTTGGTAGGTCTTTTAAATTACATATGCAATTTCTTTAAAGTCAATTTCAGTTCTTGAAAGCTGGAGAATTCTTCCTTTTGTGACTCCTGCATCTGACTGTTGGTAATTTGCTGATACATTAATGTAATTAACAATAAGACCAAAATTAGCTACCCGATCCAACCACACAGTTTTTTTGCAGTTCAAGCCAAGTTCAGCTAGGTGCTGGGCAATTACACAAGAATCAATGCAAGCCTGATTCACATCCAGAATTAGGTGGAATGCAGGGTACAGAAAAAATTCAAGTTAATTTCTTCAAGGACAAATGGATGTCTGCACTTTATTCCCCAACAGGAATGTTTGCATGTTTCTTATGAAAATTAGAGCTTTCTTGATCAAATCAGATATATGCAACATAATTGCTGTCCCATATTTTGCTGAAATGGTTTGTGCTTACTTGAAGACTATTATGAAGGAGTAAACAACATAATCTCTAGGATGGTTCCTCTGGATCCCTTCACTCAGCCTTTCTCCCATAATCCCTAATGTATCCTCCCACATGCCAGAAGAGAGCCTATTAAGAGGCTCCACCACTTTCCCCAAAGCACCTCTCCAGTGATGAATTATTCAGAAATAGGTAAAATGGTGACGTCTCCCTGTTTTTCTTTTTCTAATCTAAGCAAATGGAGAGAGATGTGTGCTAGGCTCAAAATGTTTTAAAGAGAATTCCGATTCGGTAAGAGTTCATGTCCTTATTATGCCAATCACCTGTGAGGGATTTAGGAAATATGAAATATAAATATATTTTTACATGAAGATTGTATACTATTTTGTCAATGGTATACCTTTAGGCAGAGAGTTGTTTTGTAAAAAAAATTTGTGGTTATTTTCAAACAGCTTCTTATAATGGTAAAACAAATTTGTGATAAGCTTGCAAAATAGAGAGTTTGTTCTGACTGCATTGTCCCTCTGCCCAAGGAAGACTGATCGGTTTTGAAAAAATGACCCAAGTCTAGGCTGTTCAGGACCTCCTACCCACCCCCCTCACCTGGGCATCCCTCACCCCCAATCTGCAAACTCCCTGTACTGAGGAGGTGGGAGAAAGTATATTGGGTTGAAATAAAAGGCTAAATAAGACCATATCCATTTCTTTTCATTCAGAAAAGAATGAAATGGCATTCAAATTTAAGCAGTGTAAGCCTGGAGGAATCCTAGAAGAAAACAAAAGACTGAAGTACAACACAGTACTTAATACCTTTTGTTCTTGCTAGAGTACTGTTTACATTTGTAGAATCAGTTTGCTCAATTTGTAGCATATCCATATATTAAGCTTGTAACTTCAAGAAACTTAAGCACTCAAAAAACCCATTGTAACAAAATAAATTAGTTCAATTAGGAATAGGGGGAAAAAACTGAAAGAAATGCCAGTAATAGTGGAAAAATAATAAATCATGACCCAGATAAATGCTTGCTTTAGGAGCTGAGGGCAATATTCTTGTCCAATGGCACATAGCTACATTGCTATTTACTGTCTTGCAAAATTCTGATTGTAGAAAAACTATAGTAGAACTGAGATGTTAGAAAAGGAAATTTATAAACTATATGAAATGATTTAATTGAAAACATGAACTGGGGCTCTTCGGATTTAATATTTCAGCTGTACAAATAGGGAACACAGCATATTAAACCCACCCTATGTCCTTGGAGAATAGGGACCATATTCAAAAAGAGTTATAATATTGGACAGGAGCTCTAGACATCCCACTTCATTTAGGCCAGTGGTTCTCAACCTTTTTAATGCCGTGACCCCCAACCAGTCGTAAGTCGAGGGCTACTCAACCGGTCGTAAGTCGAGGACTACTCAACTGGTGCAGCACCGTTTGCAGAATGGGACTTTTGGCGGGCTCAGCAGGGCGGAGACAGCCTGGACAATTCCTATTGGCTTTGGAAAGCCAATAGAATTAGACTCTATTCAAGAGAGTCTATTCTATTGGCTTTCAAAAGCCAACAGAATAAAAGGGAGTAGCACAGCTAAGGAAAAGGGGAAAAAAATGGCGGACTGCGTTGTTTGGCAACCCTCGTGAAATGGTCGTTCGATCCCAGATGGGGTCCCGACCCACAGGTTGAGAACCACTGATTTAGGCAACTCTTAAAATTTCCAGGACATGGCTATACTGCTCACAAATTATCAACATTTCAACTTTTATCTCTCAATATATTATCTTCCAAGTTAATAATTAAAATAATTTTAAAAAATACTACTGACAAATATAGTTACATATTTATTGCATTACAGAAGCTTTAGTACAAAAAAAAAAATAGAATAGAGTGGTTTGTTAAAGCAGCTGCTTATCTTCCCAGCTCATTTCTGAAGGTAAGACATTACTCTGCACATCATATTTACATTAAGTTGTAAGAATTTGTCCAAAAAGTATGAAATCATTTCCTATCAGCAAGAAACTGGATTCTACACATAAATATGTTTTACCTCACATGAATGCCATTTTTCTTTTATAGGGAGTGTATTATAATTTCCAGCAACACATAACAATCTCTTACAAAGGAAATATTAACTACAACGCTACAGAACAAACATCTATATTAATTTGCTGTTGTTTTTCATTATATACTTATTTCAAAGCAGCAAGAATTTGGAGCCAGCAGCAGACAAAACAAAAAGTATCAGTCTGAAGATTTTAAGTCAACGCCCTCAAAAGTGCACCCAAGATATATAAAATAAAAAAAATTTAATTCCTAACTTTAACAATAATGCTGAAGTTGATTGTTTTAGGAATTCCATTCTACAAATCTGTATTTTAAACCAAGTCAGAAGTCATGGTGTTTAAGGGCTTTATGGTTTGTTTATATATGTTCAACAAGCAGTAGTTTTTGAGTCTGTGTACTTGCTCCCCACCCCAGCAAACCACAGCTGTCTTCATGTAAAAGTCATGACTACCAGTTAACATTTTGCTCATACGTGTTCTGATTTATTCCTACTACAATCCAAGAAAATGTCTACTTATGCAAGTAGACGTAACACTGTAGAGCAGCGGTCCCCAATCTTTACTTGGAAAACGGTGGCCGCATGGAGCTTCGTGCATGAGCACGCTTGCCCACTGCTTGCGCAACCTGGGGGCCACAGCCTGGGGTTGGGGACCTCTTCTGTAGAGGAGTAAGTTATTAAGAAAAGACAATCTTAATAGATAAATGTACAATCTAACAAGAAAACTGATACTTAGCCTGTTTTTTTCTACAAAGCTTCTTTTTTATTTTAATATCAGGAAATACACCTTACCAAAATGGAGGGAAAGAGCTCCATGCACTAGAGGTCTAGGTGGATCAAATGAACTGTACCTCTTGAAAGAGAAACTATTAAATTTGTTTAAAAAATAATGGACTGATCATTCGTAAGCATTTCAAAATTGCACTGTCAACTAGTACTGCCTGCACCTTAATTGTTAATGAACATTCATTCAGTATTAGCTACACAGGCATTGGGACTTAAGACTTAATTATGAAACAGTTGTGGGCATACTTAAGTCATCCCTTCGGAAGGAACAGGATTGCCTCTGTCTATATAGTTTTGAACCAGCAGTTAAGAATTTATTTGGAAGATTTGTCTACAAGGTTAACTGATCACAAAAGGGTATCAACAGCTATTTCAATAGAGAGCACTGCAGTCCCACATTTTAAGTTTAATTATCAGCAAGAATGTCTTTAAAAAAAACAAGTAATTAAAATCCAGACACACCAGCACTGTCCTTAGTTTACTTACATACACACACACATTATTACTCCTTCTCAGAAACACTGAACCCAATTGACCAATGACTGGCAGTATGTTCTCATGTATCGCAAAGGCCTACAACTGGAATTAGAAATATCAGTAAGTCAAAACAGTGGATACTTCCAAGATAGTAGCACTGCTACTAAGCAATTCATAAAAAGGTACTTGAAATGGAGTGGGAGAAGATCAAGACATTAAGATTTAGCTTTTACTAGCTTAACCCTTGGCTTCTATTTTCTTCCAAGAATGAAAAAAGAACTGGCCAAAATTATGTATGTTCTAGTTCCACACATGACGCTTGCAGTGCTCAACAGCCTGGAAGAGAAAGAGGGAAGGGGGGGGGGAGAGAAGAGATATGCAAGGCATAATCAGAGGAAACATAATTTATATCAGGATTATGCATAGAGTGCCTGGAAGCCATTCCAAAAAATTTCTGGGATTTTATACAGTTGCTGCTTATCAAATATTTATAACTTTTTCAACCAACATCATAGTTTTAGCTGGCTCAAAACTTAAGTCTGCCAAATCTAGACTGGAAAAAAATCTAGATAATCAGTAGATGGCAGGAAAGAGAGATAGAAACCATAATGCTTTGATGCCATCTAGTGATCTGAATTTCCCACAACTGAGCTCTCACAGCCTAGCCACAACTTGGGCTCCATCCAGCCTCCACTTACCTTTCCTGCTGTACTCTGAACTATGATTTCCAGTTTATGCTATAATAATCACAAACTAATAAGGTTGACCCCTTATGAACAATCCTATTTGTGTTAGCTTAAACCATGGGATTTACGTCAAAGGGGGAGGGAGCTGTTCCAGAGGTGGAATGAGGGCCATTTTATTTCATTTTTAATTTTATTTCACATTCCAGCCAAATGTGGCACATAGTTAATACATTTCGAAGTGAAATTAAAAATTTCTTGAACAAGAACGTCTGCTTGCCATACACAGATAACAAAACAGGCACAAGGAATGCCTTCTTACGGAACAAACATATCGCATTGTGAGAGAGAGTACCATTCCAGGTAAATAGAGGTGCGAGGTAGCCAGAAGAGTATCTCCTCTTTTGGATACTCCCTAGATGAAATTATGGTAAGCATTTTGGCCTGCCATATTGTGACTAAATAAACAAGTAATAACATTTTCCTCATTCATCCAGTTTGACTTGTGTAAGATTAGTTTGCTAGCACAATACTAAAACAAATCAAGGAATTGCAAAAAGGAACTGGCATTATCTATAGACATTATTTTACTCTCACCAGGCTTTCTCTCCATTTCAATATCGCTCTAGAATGTTTATATCTGGTATCAGGTACTTGGGTTCTGAGGGTACATTACCCATCCTGCTTGACCACCCAATTGACAGAAATGAGACTAGATTTGATCTCCAGAATATCCAAGGCAGGATTGCCATGATTACAGCAATTTACAACTTCATGGTCTATCCCCAGAAGCTAGTTGATTCCAAAGGATGCTGGACAACTTCCCAGTTTACATGCAGGTGCTCCTCTTGAAGCCTGGATTAAGATCCATGAAGCCGTGGACAATGGGGATGACCTGGCCATGTGACATAACTGATTCTGGACATTCTGCATTCTCTTTTGCTATGCACAATCCATTCAGTTTCTTAGTATATCCCCCCACTGACAACAAAGCAGGATTAGAGAATGCAGACAGAAGAAAACTCGTATCTGAAGGAATAGCTAAGAGCTCATTTACTGAGCTTATTCAGTACAGACAATGGAAGAGAAGCAAAAACATTTCATTCTTTCACTATTGCATCCTGCTCTGATGCTCTCTCATATTAGAGATGTGATGGACAAGCTTATCGTTTTGGAATGAACTCTCCAGTAAATATATCGGGGGCCAAATTTTTTATGTAGTCAAATAGGTTTTTATTCTCAAAGGCATTTTAATTCACAAATGTGTTCATTTTAAACACATTTGTTTAGAAACTTTTTTAATTACTCAGAATTCTCTATTTACTTGTTTTGGTGGTATAGCCTTCTTCAAAAAGGCAGAAACTATAGTTTTTTGTGGCATTCACCAATCCCAAATGGTGAAAATTAATTTTATTTCACGTTGCATCCCTGCTATGTCACTGTAGCATTGGATCTTGCTCATGCCTTCTAGTGGTGCTCCTGCTTTGTAAAAAACCTCTCCCATATTAGCTGACATAAGGAAATGCTGCTTGTTGGGTTTCTGCCTCTATCTACATGTCTGCTCAGAAGTATACAAAAATACTTACATTGCACTGAGACGCAGTTTCCATGTTCTTACACCAGTACCCTGGTCCTCGGACACACAATTCTGATCCCAAAAGAGGTTTAGTGGATGCTGAGCAAACTCCAAGTTTCTGTAAAGTGAAAGGTAGTAACTGCAGTTTACTGTTTCACTGTAATAAAAGTGTGATCAGTCTGTTCATTTATTAGAATTTCTACAAAGAATGCTAAAGGAACCAAAGAAAACTCTGTCATTATAACGGACAAGTTATGCGTTGGTTGAGTATAAGGGTCAGAAAATAAGATAAAAACAAACCCCAGCTTTTCAAAGGGCATTTTAGCAAATGTTAGAACAGCACTGAAAAAAGTAACTCATGACCGTTTTTCATACTTATGACTGTTCCAGCATCCCCAGTCGTGTGATTAAAATTCAGATGCTTGGCAACTGACTCACATTTATGACGGTTGCAGTGTCCCGGGGTCATGTGATCATCTTTTGCGACCTTCCGACAAGCAAAATCAATGGGGAAGCCAGATTCTTATTCTTATTTTTCTGCTTTAATTTTGCATTTGTGATTTGGATTAGATAAATCCAGAATAAATAAATCACTTTAAGATAAAGCATTATTAAGTTTTCTTTGGCACCTGCTAGTCCATAAATAGCTTTGAGTTATGATAGTAGATACCTACAGTGAGGGAAAAAATTATTTGATCCCTTGCTGATTTTGTATGTTTGCCCACTGACAAGAAATGATCAGTCTATAATTTTAATGGTAGGTTTATTTTAACAGTGAGAGACAGAATAACAACAACAACAAAAAAAAATCCAGAAAAATGCATTTCAAAAAAGTTATAAATTGATTTGCATTTTAATGAGTGAAATAAG